TTATACAAAGGTATTTATTCAGTGTTTTTTAATAGTGAAAAAATAGAAAAATATGCAACATTAAAAATTTATTTATCTAGGATTTTATTTACTTATTATAGAAGTATATTTGGCATATAACATTGTATAAATTTAAAGTGTAAACATGTTCATTTGATCGATTTCTGTATTGCAATATGACTGCCACTGTAGCAATAATTAAGTCAAAACCACTGTGAGATCCCTCTCACTTGTTAGAATGACTAGCATCAAGAAGACAGAAGATAACAAGTGTTGACAAGCATGTAGACTTGTTTTCTGATGGTGGATATGTCAATTGCCTTCAGCCACTATGGAAAACACTATGGAGGTGCCTCGAAGAGTTAAAATTAGATTTGTCATATGATCTAGCAATTCCACTGTTGGTTATATACCTAAAGGGTTTTTTTTAATAAATTATGGGGCCAATTAAAAATCATAAGAAATATATACATGAAGAATGCTCACGTTCTAACTTAAATTTATAAAGCACTTTATAGAACAGTATTACGTGTGAGTCCAACTCTTGTCATATTATATATGCACATTAAAAAGTTGTTGTTTAGTCGCTAAGTCATGTCTGATTCTTTTGTGACCCCATGGACTATAGCCCACCAGGCTCCTCTGTCCATGGAATTCTGCAGGCAAGAATACTGGAGTGGGTAGCCATTTCCTTCTCCAGGGGATCTTCCCAACAAAGAGATCAAACTCACATCTCTTGCACTGGCAGGTGAATTCTTTATCACTGAGCCACCTGAGAAGCCCATATTTGAAAGTAAGATGGTTTATATATATGTAGATTTCTAGTTAATGTTATTTTAAAGAGTGAACTCTTTCACTTTGGCCAGGGTTACTGTACAGGTCCTGATGTGCCAGTATGTGTCTTGGCCCAGAACTCCTGGCCCTTGTGCTGCTTTATCTGACTAGCTACCTAGAATGCTTTTCCCACCCGTTCTGTCTTCCTCTCCCTCTAATCATTCTTCAGAAGACAGTTAAAAGATGACTTCTTTCCTAGAAGCCTTGCCTGATACCTGGCCCTGGTCTGGTTTCTCTGTTGTGTGCAGTCTTCATATCTTCTTCCTTCAGAGATACTCCCAATTTGTAACAATTCACATATCTGTTAGTATAACCATCTTGTCACCATCATTCACACTTGAAGGTAAGCTGTACCAGCACCAAGACAACATTTCTTTTTATTCACTATCATATTTCCGTACCTAGCCAGTGCCTGGCCCATATTTTGTGTTCAATAAATACCTACTGAATAAATGGATGAATACCTGAATATTCATGTTTCAATGAATGAATGAATGAGCATCAAGGTTCATCCTAACTTGATCTCCTAGAAATCTTCCAGATTAAATAAATGATGCTCAAAATTGGTAAGAAACCCACAGGAATCCTCCAAGTTTGTTGTGATCTCAAGTCAAATAGCCTTCGTCACTCAAGAGCATAGGTACCAAATCCTCAACATACATTTATTCATCTCTTATGCAGTATAGAGGTTAAGATCACAGGTTCCAGGCTCAGTGGCCTAGTCAAATACTTGCTGTATGAACCCCAGAAAGTTATTGAGCAGTTCTGTGCCTTAGCCAATTCATCATATAACGGGAAATTTAATAGTACATATCTCAAGAAGTTGTTGGGAGAAATAAGTTAATAGAAATAACTCATAGAAACTGGCACATGGCCACAGTGTATGGGATCAATAAATGTTAAGTATTGTTAGCATTACTATTAATTTTTGTATCCCAAAACCCTTGCACTATGAACTGTGGAGGATGCAATGATAAATTAGGCAAGAATTGCCCTACAAGAGCTAGCAGTTAATCAGACAAGATGAAGAATGTAATCTTGGAATGCACAGATGAAAGAGGAGAGCTCAGAGAATTCAGAGGAGGGAGCAAGGTGCATCCAAGGTAGATTCTTTTCTGGGCATCAGATCAAAGACAAACTCTGATGTTGTTTAAACAGCAAGATCTATCTTGTTTACATTTTAATGAATTCAGATAGATACTCTTAACCAAATTAGACAAACTCTGCTCCAGCCTGGTTAGCCGCTCTAGCTTATTGGGGATGTAGTCCCAGCAAGGGGCAGCCACAGCTTCGTGCATGTTTTGAAAGGTTTCACACAAAGACATCTCCATGCCCATTCTCCTGAAGCCAAGCTGACCAGTGCACATCAACACCAGACTCAGAACGCTCCCAGCTGGCCAGTCATGGTGCACTTTTCTACAGACAATTCTCTTCTTATTTTTGCAAAAAGTTTGAAGAATCCCATGAACAGAGGAGCCTGGTGGGCTACAGTCCATAGATTCGCAAAGAGTCGAACACAACTGAAGCGACTTAGCCCGCACGTACACTTGGGTAAGGAACCTTCCCTGAAACCTTGTTATTCTTCTGTTAAGTCTGGTGAAGATGAGAAACCACTCTTCTTCTTGCTTAGCTATGGCAGTTCTCTGCCAAGATAAGATTATACCAGAGAAGATGATTATTACTTAATAAAACAGCTTGCCCAAGTCACTATTAATCATGACAATTATTTTATGAACTTCTTAGAGAAGTATCACCTCCTACAGCCCAGTAGGCATTTCTTGTATACATTTTCCCTTTCTTCATAACAATCAACAATCAATAAAGGGCATTTCTGTGCAATATTGCTTGCAGGCAGATAGCCCCACCAAAACTCCCCACTATCCCCATTACCTTCACCACTACTCCTCACGCATCCCTCCTTCCTTCAAGAAAGGCCTATTTATCAACCCTCCCATAAAGAATCAACCTGCAATGAAGGAGATCTGGGTTCAATCCCTGGATTGGGAAGATCCCCTGGAGAAGGGAAAGGCTACCCACTCCAGCATTCTGACCTGGAGAATTCCATGGCCTGTATGAGGGCTTCCCTGATAGCTCAGTTGGTAAAGGATCCACCTGCAATTCTGGAGACCCAAGTTCAATTCCTGGATAGGGAATATCCCCTGAAGAAGGAATAGGCTACCCACTCCAGTTTTCCTGGGCTTCCTTTGTGGCTCAGCTGGTAAAGAATCCACCTGCCAGGTGGGAGACCTGGGTTTGATCCCTGGGTTGGGAAGATCCCCTGGAGAAGGGAAAGGCTACCCACCCCAGTAATCTGGCCTACAGAATTCCATGAACTATATAGTCCTTGGGGTCACAAAGAGTCGGACACAACTGAGTGACTTTCACTTTCCATAAATGTACTACACTTGGTTTTTGGAATGAAATGACAGAGTAACACAGCTGGTGGACAGAAAACAAGGTCAGTCACATCCAAATACAAAACAGTTTGGACTTTAAAGAGACCTAATTCATGTCATCTCGAAGTAGTTCAAAACCATTAAGTGACCACATGAGTTTTGTGGTTACAAACTCACACTGGATTTATTCAACAAATATTTGACCACTTTCTCTGAGTTATACACTGTGTAGTTGCTGCTGATTTAATAGGGAGGAGTCTGGCCAAGGGAGTTTACTTTATATCCCAAAACTTGATGGTATTGTGGGGAGTGTCCTTTACTCCCAACTTCCAGAAGATGTGCTGATGGCAGTGACAGGAGCTGAATTTGCTTGTGTCCAACTCTCATTTTCTAAGCACCTATATGGTGCAAAATATTTTTTCAGTATGGCAGGATTACATTCAGGTCACATGATACATTGGCCCTCTCCTCACAGATACTACAGACTACTTGGGAAAGACCAATATTTGGACAGGTCAAAATACGTAACCCACAGCTTGAGGCCTTGAGCACCAGGTTAAATTGAACCAAAACTATCGGGATAAAATCAACTGATGGATGTTCTTTGAGCTACTCCTTCAACTTCCTCTTGGCAAGAGTTTTATTTCCCATCTGAAGCTGCTCTTTCCCGAGAAGGTCCAGATTAAGACTGCATAGAAGAGGGGCCTATGTAGAAAAAACAGCCTCCACAGGAAGCATGACAAGTGACATGTGTTTGCCAGAGAACCCAACTCAAACTGTACAGGAAATGAAGAAATAAATTGCATATGCTGTTGAAAAGTACAAAGATAGAGTGAAATTCAGATGCTATTTGATCAGGACTCTGGCACAGCCTTGGTAGTGGTCTCCACTCTACCTTCCTCTGTATGTTATCTTCAATCTTAGGCTAGACTCCTTTAAGACAGGATGGATCAATGTATACATCAGTCCCAGGCCTCCAGTTTCCACATGGCACCATTTTGGAGGAAAAGGGAGCTTTTATTTCTCCAACCACCAAAGTCTTCCTCTCTACTGGGTCCATCTTAGTTCTTATACCCTTGGAACTAATCACTAAGAACAGAGCAGTGTCAGGGGCTGACTGGCGTAGGTTTAGAAATAAGAAGGTGATCTCTAGGCAACCATGGCAACAGGGATGAGAATATGCCTTGACTGGTTCAGGTTAGTCAGGATCTCCCTGCTTTGGTTGAGGATTGGGGTGGTCAAGAGTCAGTCCTACCCACCTACCCCCTAACGATGTGTTAGGAAGCAGGAAGGGGGGCGTTTTGCCAGAAAGGAAAGCAGCAGCTCATACAACAGGTAGACCCTCCAAAACTGGAAAGATTCAGACTCATTGACTAAAAGAAGGCAGTAATATGGTAAGTGATATCTGGGGAAATGCTTCAGTCCCTGTAAAGCATTTAGTAAGAATGAGCCACTAAACAAGAAGAGTGTAATCACGGGGCTGCTCTGTACACACAGCAACTCTGCAGACTGCCGGAGCTCAGGGTGACTACTGCTGTTGCTCTGGCAGCAAGCCCTCCTTGTCAAGATGGTTATTATGGGACCAGCTGAGCTATAGAAGCCTGGAGGGTACTTTAGTGCCTCCTTCATCTCAGCGACATTTATTACCTACATCATAACATAGCACCCTCAACATCAAAAGGAAAAAAAAAAACAACTGGAGGAAGATCAGTGGCAGTGGAACCAACATACCTCCTTCTGGCCCCTTCTCAACACAAATCTAAACACCTTACCAGGCATGGGAGCAGGGTCCTTCATGGTTCAGAATCTCATGTGGCTCTCTTCTCTGAAGGGAGCAAGTCAGTTTCAGTTGCCACCTGCATGGGGGAGATACCACAGTGGCCACACGACGTGGATTAAAAACCCTGGTTTGGGGGTCTTCGAAGCTGGGGTCAGGGCCTGGCCACAGTGTGATGTCTCTTGTGTGACCTCAGTCCTCTTATCTTTCTGGGTCTCAGCTCCTCCTGTAAAATTAACTAACATTGCCCTATCACGTTTTAAGAGCCTAGGTTTTTATGATAAACTTCCGTGGTAGAAGAGTCTCCATTCTAGTTCAAGATTGAAAAAGATGTTCTATCGTAGTTCTAGTGCCCCAATATACAGAGATCCGAATAGGGATTTTGTGGGGACCTCCCACAAGATCAACACTCCTGAGAGGAGACAAGAAGTAGGATTGGGAGATGGACAGACTGAACTGTGATGCAGTCTTTTGTTAGTAATTTTTTTTTTTTTTTTTGGCTGCACCGCAGGCATATAGGATCTTAGTTCCTCAACCAGGGATTGAACTCGGGCCTTTGCCAGTTAAAGCACTGAGTCCTAATCCGTGGACCACCAGGGAAGGCCCTGCCTCACAGAGCCGATACAGGCCTCGCTGTCACCAAGCAGGGAACAGTGGACCTGGATGGACCGTCAGGGCCCACGCTGAGGTGGGGAGGGTCTGGGTTTTAGCAACAAGGCACCAGGTGCAGCTCCCCTCAGCAAGAGGGCCTGACCTAGGTAAGGCACTTCTCTCAAGCTGTTGGCAGCTGCCTGATAAGGACGCAGCGTTACACTTCCAAACAGCCAACACCCCTGGAAACCAGGGACAGAATGCCTCCATCCTGAAGCGGGATTCAGGGGTCTGAGTGGCAGCAGCAGTACCCACTGTGTGTCCTGTACCCGCATCCTCTAAGTATGGGGACCAGGGCTACGAGGGTGCTGTCTCTTCCCTTCCCAGTCTCTGGCCCTATAGGATGGCCCGGGGCACCCTACTTTCCCTCTAGTGATTTCCTGAAGGGAAAACTAATGCTGGAGTCCCCCCTTGCCTAGCTTTCTTGGATGGTATCAGTGAGCATAAGTCAATTATGCAAACAGCCCTCAGAGGAAATCAGACTCCTTAGTAGTACAGAGGATATCACTCTAACCCCGTGAGCACTGCCTTTTAAAGGGCATTTTAATTTATCCCCCCAGAAAAAAAAAAAAGAATTTGACGTGTTCAGTGTTACCTTTGAGATAAGCTCTACCCTTGTATATTCTTGTGACAGTCCCCTTGTGTGATATTATTAACATGTCCTTAATTTACACCTAGGGGAACCAGAGGCCCACAGCCTTTCTCTAGAGAGACCCTATGTCTGAGGAACTCTCACTTGCCTTTGGCTGAAAGTAAAAGAAGAAAAACTTTCCTTACAAACTGAAGCAATGTAGCTAATTTTAACATTCATTTTTTTCCCTTTACTCCACTGTTTTTCTCTCATTTAACTGTTTTAGAGTATACTTTTCTTCTATTTCTGTCCTTTGGTTTTGAGTGAAAGGCACATCTTAAAAATATCTAATCAATAAAGAAGATGCAATTCCATTATGCATCACTTCCTTTAATAGGTCCTATTTTAAACCTGGACTTCCTGGAACTAAGATAGCCAGTGGTTTATCAGAAATAATTAGACAATTTGAACAGAGTATATTTGCAGGTCCACAACTGCCTCTTGGGATATAAATTTATACAAAGCCATCAAAAGAATGCTGGTAAAATCACTCCACTTGAAATGACGTTCTCACTTAAATAGAATTATCCTATCGAGATTGTTCAGGGGAAAGGATGTAGAGACAGAACCCCAAAATGGTCTAGAATCAATCAGAAGTTTAAGTATATTCAGCTTTCCAAATGTAACTCCAGTGTATGAGAAGACATATTCTTGGCTGAGGAAATTCTCACTGTTATAAGTCAATTGCACTTTTGTTTAAAAATAAGAAATTTATTTATTTATTTATTTGGCTGTGTAGAGTCTTAGCTGCAGCACACAGAATCTTCGTTAATGTTAGTTGTGTCATGCGAGATCTTTAGTTGCAGAGCACACTGTCTAGTTGTGGCACACGGGCCTACGTGCTCGGCCTGAGGGATCTTAGTCCCCCAACCAGAGTTTGAACCCACATTCCCTGCGTGGCAAGGTGAACTCTTCACCACTTGACCACCAGAGAAGTTCCTAATTGCTCTTTATTTTTTTTTAAACTGCAAGTCTACATTATGCTCCTCACTATTGGTCAGAGAAGAGTGTATCAAGAAGTGTTTTTAAAAATGTCCTGCCCTTAAGAAGTTATAATCTCACTGGGGCGAATAGACCAGCATATGAGATCAATAAAGCACAATGGAATCTAAAATACCCTGAGTGGAGTGGTAGTTCAGGGAGGGGAGAACCCAGTCACCGCAGGCTGATGTAGCTATGAAAGCTCTCACGAAGGGGTTAGGAGTGAAGCGTTTGAAAGCCCCAGTCAAACTACAAAAAATACTTTCTGGGAGGGGCAGTGTTTTAAGTGTTCATTACTTTTTAATGTCTTATCCGTAAATTATTGATTAGACCACTGAACACTGAGTTGTATTAATACTTGAGAGGACTAGCAGTGAGTCAGGTGAGCTCGGAGGGAGGAAGGGCCAAGAGAAGGTTTGCAAGCTGGAGGCGCCCCCTGAGGAAGGTCAGAGTGCATGAGAGTCCCCAGGGGATCAGCATGAGGGTGCTGACTCTGGAGCCCCGTGGACAGAAAGCCTCAAAGAACGGAAGATGAGGCAACCGAAGAGAAGTTCTCCCAAAGAGGTCTGCCTGCAACATGATTTAGGGCCAAATTTGCTGCCCCTCCACTGAATAGAAAGGGCATTGAGGAGTTTTATAGCTTCTCTTGTTATTTCAAAAAATCCCTGGTCCTGGCATAGTCTGAAGGTGGAACTTCACAGCCCCACCCTTCTTTGCCAATTCTCAATCTTTCCAAGTTCTGGAGGGCATCACAAGCAGACCTGAGTCACAGCAGCATGACTCAGTACTTCCAAGGAGAAACCGAGAAGAGTGGGTAGTCGCAATCGATAAGAGTAATTATGAATTGAGCAGGTATCCTGCCTGGCACTGCTGTACACAGTTACTAGTCAGTACTTCAGTTAATCTTCAAAAATCATACTTTGAGACTGTGGTTGTCCCATTGTACAGATGAAGACAGTAACCCTCCTGGAGGTTACATAACCTGCCTTAAAGGAGGTATTAGAAATGCGCTCCCTAATCCACTCATGGAATGAATAATTGATTGAACAATCAATCAAGAATGCTTCATAACCCCAGAGGTGGAGGATGCTACCCAAGAGGCTCACTGCATTCTCATTTCACTGAGAATGACAAGGGAGTCAGCATGGATGATGGCTGGCAGAATGATACTGGAAAGTCATGAGGACTCACACCAGCCAGGGCTTAGAAATCCAACAAAGGGCTGTAGACCCTACAAACTGCTCTCAGACTCCATCAGGAGGCTTGCACACCAGAGCCTGCAGTACTATGCCTGCAGACACTTCCAACTTGCCCATGGACACCCAAGTGCTCCAGACACCTCAAGCCCTACCATAGGTCTGGCTCCCCACAGGTCCCGATGATGAGCACAAGCCTCCATAGGTGACAAAAAAGAATGCTCCATGAGAACAGAAATTACCAAAATTATGAAGACTTGTAAAGTGCTTAAGTATGAACAAAGTACTTACATACATAGATGACCTCTCCTGGTTCTCACCACAATTCTCCAGGTAAGACGTTTTGCTTTCTCCTTCAGCAGATAAGAAAACAGACAACCAGAAAGGGTACATGACTCGCCTGTGACTTCTCAGCTGGTTGGAATCTCTTGAAACAAGATTCCAACGCAGATGTTTGGGCACCAAAGCTATTTTTGTTCCCACCAAGGGCTCCAAGACTAAAAGAACGAAGACCATCTGCTGGGGGAAAAGCTGCCCTCACCCAGATGAACAGTTACAACTAACAGAATTGGTTGACTTTCCTATGACTATTATTTTTGTGATTTCCTCTATCCCTATTATCTTGCGTACAAAGCTGCCTTTTTTCAAAAGATTTGTGTGTGTCTTTGTGTGTGTGTGTGTCTGTGTCTGTGTCTGTGTGTAAGCAAAGAAGGCAACAGTACGCAACAATTGCAGCCTACCCTGAAACTAGTCTTGGGCAGAAGAAAGGCTTAATCATAGTGATCTCAAGAATCCAGAGAGGAGAAGCCAGCAGAATCCTTGAGGGAGAGAGGGCATTTGAAAAAGAGAAAACAGAGCAGAGAAGAGTAAGAACAGATCTGAAAGGTGACATTAGGGCTTCGCTGGTGATAGACCTGCCCAGTCCCTGCCGCTGGGGATGTAACCACGGCATCGAGGTCCCTGGGAACAGACCTCTTCAGCCAAGCTTCCTGCCCATCATCCCCCAGGATCCAACCCACAAAGCCAACCCCTCTCTTGGAAAGACTGCGTGGAAACCATTAAGATAATGCAGTTCCTTCCTTGCTGACTTTGCCACTGGGAGCACCAGGCAGATCCCTTGAGCCAGACTATCTTTGAATGGAAGAAGTAGAGGAGCTGCTACCATGGCAACGCAGTTCCCCTGCCCATTTACACCATCCCTGAGCTGGGGGAGATCCTTGGAGGAAGGGGTTCCCCACTTACTTCACCAAGGCAGGGAGATCGCCAAGGACACACAGATGGAGAGGAGCCTTAGGGAATGTTCCCTCCAGCCCGAACTGGATGCTGGTTGGTTGCCATGGCAACCGGATTCCTTGCCCACCAAACCATGAAGGAGGGAGAGCAGCAAAGCCAGAGGGCTGCAGAGGAGCCTGCTCTTTCCAGTGCGGCTCTGGGCACCTCTTGGGCTGTGTGGGTAGCGTCTGTCTTAGATCAGAGGCATCCTTGGGAGCCCAGCCCTTTCCAGAGCATCTGTAAGGATGAGCTGGGTACTGGCTCTTTTCCATGACAAAATAGTACTGATGAAGTAGAAGGGCCAAAAGGAACAGCTAAAGAGATGGTTGCTCTCCATCTCAGCAGTGACTTTGTTATTGAGAAGCATCTGAATTGCAGTTTGAATTGAATTTCCTTATTTTGGTCTCAGAGTTTGAGTTTCCTTGGGTACATCCATCAGCTAATTATAACCTAATATTCAAATAGGTGGGGTTTGCTTCTTGGGAACTGGGAGTTGTTGTTGAATAGAGCAGATCCTGGAAAAGAACTTGATGCTGGGAAAGGTTGAGAGCAGGAGGAGAAGGGACAACAGAGGATGAGATGGTTGGATGGCATCACTGACTCAATGGACATGGGTTTGAGCAAATTCCAGGAGATAGTGAAGAACAGGGAAGCCTGGTGTACTGCAAGGAAGTCGAAAGGAGTCAGATGCTATTTAGCAACTGAACAACAAAAACAGGTTCTAGTAAGTTCACATATTAAAATTCAGTTTACACATGTGTGTGTGATGTACATGATTTAAAATTCACCAGAACTATGAAAGAAATGAAAAATGAACAGAAATAACAAAACTGTTTTAGGAGCCAAAAGGCATGAGTTCAAGAGTCAAAATGCTATTGATAACAAGAAGTATGTGACCCAATTAAATCATGACCTTTGTTGAAGTCAGAGAGCTGAGGGTCTGCATGCCTGTTTATTATCATAACTACTAGTCAAATCCAGAGACTAAAGAGTGAAAGGTGAATAAATCACACTGGTATATAATTGATTGGCCTTTTTTAAGATAGCTGTATTGAGGTATAATTGACATACAGTAAATGGAGCACATTTAAAATGTATTATTTGATAAGTTCTAACATGTGTATACCCTTTTGAAACCATCAGTGCAATCAAGTCAATATGTTCAAGTCTCCTCATACCTCTTTGTAATTTCTTCTTCCTATCTTTACCTGTCCCCCCATCCCATTTCACACCCAAGCAATCCCTGATTTAGCGTTTGTCAGTATAGATTCATTTGGATTTTCTGAAGTTTTATATAAATGGAATCAGACATTATGCACTTTTTTCAGTCTGACTTACTTTGTTCAGTATATTGATACTGACATTCATCCATGTTGTTCTGTGTATGAATACTTCATTCCATTTTAATGCTGAGTGTATTCCATTGTGTGGATATAGAAACTTGTTTATCCACACGTCTGTTGGTGGACATTTACGTTGTACCCTAGTGGCTCAGACAGTAAAGAATCTGCCTGCAGTATGGGAGACTCAGGTTCAAACCCCCTCCCCCAGGTTGGAATGATCCCACAGAAAAGGAATGGCTACCCACACCAGTGTTCTTATTTGGAGAGTTCCATGAATAGAGGAGCCTGGCAGGCTACAGTCCATGGGGTTGTAAAGAGTTGGACACAACTGAGCAACTAACACTTTCACACTTTTTTTCAATGTCTAGTTTGGGATTCTTACTCATAAAGCTGCCAAACATTTGTGTACAAGTCTTTCTGTGAACATATATTTCCTTTCTTTGGGGGGAGGGGGTAACCCTATGGTATATGTGAGTTTAACTTTTTCAGAAATTGCTTCCCAAAATGATTATACCATCAAGAGTATATGTGAGTTCCTAACAATGAGAAATCAGGAAGAGCAATTAAGGAATCAATCTCATTCACCATTGCAACAAAAAGAATCAAATATCTAGGAATAAACTTACCTAAAGAGACTAAAGAACTGTACACAGAAGATTATAAGACAGTAATGAAAGAAATCAAAGGTAACATAAACAGATGGAGAGATAGTCCATGTTCCTGTGTAGGAAGAATCAATATCATGAAAATGACTATACTACTAAATGCAATCTACAGATTTAATGAGATCCCTATCAAATTACCAATGGCATTTTTCACAGAACTAGAACAAAAAAGTTCACAATTCATATAGAAACACAAAAGACCCCGAATAGTCAAAGCAGCCTTGAGAAAGAAAAGTGGAGCTAGAGGAATCAAGCTTCCTGACTTCAGATTATACTACAAAGCTACAGTCATCAAGACAGTAGGGTTCTGGCACAAAAACAGAAATATAGACCAATGGGACAAGATAGAAAGCCCCAAAATAAACCCATGCACCTATGAGTACCTTATTTTGACAAGGGGGGCAAGAATAAACAATGGGGCAAAGACAGCCTCTTCAATAAATGGTGCTGGGAAAACTGGACAGCTACATGGAAAAGAATGAAATTAGAACACTTCCTAACACCATACGCAAAGATAAACTCAAAATGGATTAAAGACCTAAATGTAAGACCAGAAACTATAAAATTATTAGAGGAAAACAAAGGCAGAACACTCAATGACATAAATCAAAGCAAGATCCTCTATGGCCCACCTCCTAGAGCAATGGAAATAAAAACAAAAGTAAACAAATGGGACCTGATTAAACTTAAAAGTTTTGAACAGCAAAGGAAACAATAAGCAAGGTGAAAAGACAACCTTTAGAATGGGAGAAAATAATAGCAAATGAAACAATTGATGAAGGATTAATTTCCAAAATATACAAGCAGCTCATACAACTCAATACCAGAAAAACAAACAACCCAATCAAAAAGTGGGAAAAGACCTAAGCAGACATTTCTCCAAAGAAGACATACAGATGGAAAGCAAACACATGGAAAAATGCTCAATATCGCTCATTATTAGAGAAATGCAAATCAAAACTACAATGAGATATCACCTCACACCAATCAGAATGGCCCTCATCAAAAGGTCTACAAACAATAAATGCTGGAAAGGGTGTAGAGAAAAAGGAACACTCTTTCACTGTTGGTGGGAATGTAAGTTGATATAGTCACTATGGAAGATGGTATGGAGATTCCTTAAAAAACTAGGAATAAAACCACCATGTGACCCAGCAATCCCACTCCTAGACAAATACCCTGAGGAAGCCAAAAGTGAAAGAGAGACGTGTCCCATTGTTCACTGCCGCACTATTTACAATAGCTAGAACAGTGGGAGCAACCTAAATGTCCATCAACAGATGAATGGATAAAGAAGTTGTGGTATATATACACAATGGAATATTATTCAGCCATAAAAAGGAATGCATTTGATTCAGTTCTAATGAGGTGGATGAACCTAGAACCTATTATACAAAGTGAAGTCAGTCAGAAAGAGAAAGATAAATGCCGTATTCTAATGCATATATACGGAATCTAGAAAAGTGGTACTGAAGAATTTATTTATAGGGCAACAGTGGAGAAACAGACATAGAGAATAGACTTGTGGGCATGGGAAGAGGGGAGGGGAGGGTGAGATGTATGGAAAATGTAACATGAAAACTTACACTACCATATGTAAGAGAGATAGCCAACGGGAATTTGCTCTATGGCTCAGGAAACTCAAACAGGGGCTCTATATCAACCTAGAGGGGTGGGATGGGGAGGGATGTGGGAGGGAGTTATATGTATACCTATGGCTGATTCATGTTGAACTTTGATAGAAAACAGCAAAATTTTGTAAAGCAATTATCCTTCAATAAAAAATAAATTAATTTAAAAAAAAAGAGTATATGTGAGTTCCATTTTTTCCACATTCTTCCCAACACTTGGTATGGTCAATCTTTTTAGATTTTAGCCATTCTAATAGGTGTGTACTGGTATCTTGCTGGGTGATTGATTTTTATTGCATTTCCTCTCATTGGATCATTTTCATTGCCTTCTGGGTTCAGAAAAGCAACATCACATGAAATATAATGGGGGTGGATGGTGAATCAAACCAACTAACAGGCCACATGCCTAAATCTGCATTAATGAGAAGAAATTACACTTATTTCACCATAATTTTACTGTCAAATAATAACAGATACTGTGCAATGAACTTAGTACAAGATGTTGGGGGCAGATGACATTTTATGCTTGTCAGTGATCACAGTGACAGCTACTATTTATCAGGTTCTTATTATGTATCAGACCCTAAGCTAAGGGCTGACATAAATTCTTTTATCTCCCCAACAACACAGTGAAGTAGGCATTATTGTGCCCATTTAGCTGTTGATTGTTTCCATTTCATCTCAACATACATATAGAGTACTCACTCCTAAATGGGCAAATCGAGTTTTATATTACTATCTGCTGCTATAAAGAGGAACCTAAAGACAAATGATATATATAAATACAAATCTTATTTTAACATCCTTACAAATCTGCTAGGAAAATGAATATAATTCAGGTTCATGGCTGATCATTTAATGCATGTAAATATCAAAGTAAAAGTACTCAACCTTACTAGTTTAAAAATATGCAAATTAAGGGAATTCCCTGGATGTTCAGTGATTAGGACTCTGAGCTTTCACTGCAGGAGGTGCAGGTTTGATCCTGGTCAGGGAACCAAGATCCCACATGCTCTGTGGCCAAAAATTAAATAAATAAATAATAGAAAATTTGAAAAAAATAAAATGATAGGGGATAATATTTTTTAAATGCAAGTTAAAGTCAGGCACTATCAGTTATATGTCAGCTATATCTCAATAAAGCCAAGTTTAAAATTCTGTTAATTTCAAAAACAGACCATGTCTTATTATCTATATCATTTTATGTATTTGCAGAGGTATGTTTACATGCACAACACACACATACACACACACAAACTAACAATGCTGATGAAGTTGTGATGGCCCTGGACCTTTCATGCATAGCCAGTGGGATTTTTAAATTGCAACTGCTGTTCTCAAAGGAAACTGGGCAGGATTATACTGGATTGGCCAAAAAGTCCTTTCAGTGTTTT